TCATTGACCAACTGGCATTATTTAGCCTTTTGTGACCAGCACACTGGCAAAGTGTATTTGAGCTAAGTAGATGTTTAAAAAAAAATACTGCAGGGAAACCCGAACATGGAGTCTGTAGCCTTGCTGCAGGTCACATATAGATTTTAACAAGTGTTTCTGTCAAATAGGCATTTGCAGGGTGTGAACTCTGCTGCCCAGAGAACAAAAGAATCATCAGCTGAGGCTCAGTGCAAAAGGTAACAGGCAGGACTGTTCTATCAGGTTGCATTTGGCGAGCCCTAATTTCCTTCTCTGAGACTCTGAAGAGTGGAGGTGCCTATTAGCTGTTGGTAAAATGTGAAGATTCTCCAGTCGGTGTCCACGGAAGGATGTGGCAGAGCTGAGGCCTGGAGTCAGTGAAAGTGCCCTGTCCAAGCCTTGCGTACAGTGCACGCAGGCACGGAGGGCACAGGCAAGGCTGGCAGTGGCCCTCTGTCCCATGCAAAGAGGAGATAAAGAGCTGCATCCATGTGTTGGGTGCAACAGGATAACTGAGGCAGCCTTGCCCTGGTCTTGCCCAAGATGGGCACAGCCCTAGGAAGGGGCTATCATTCCTTTGTAGGGATCACAGGGCTCTGGTAATGAGACACCAGGGGTGACTCTGCCAGCTAAGCAGAAACAAGGAAGGATGAAGAGGGGTCATCAGGAGTGAGGTGACGAAGAGGAGGACCTTGAGGGTGTTAAAGCAAGAGAAGGGCAGGGACCACAAAGCAAAATGGCACAGCAGGTGCCTCCCTGCTCCTCTGCAGTGTGCCAGTGCACAGGGATGGGGGGCACAAAGAGGAGTTATGGGACGGCCAGGTCCAGTCCTTCCACAGGAGAAGGAATCGGAGCTGAGGGCTGGACTCTAGTTCACTGGTGGAAAGGGCCCTTGTCAGGCTAAGGGTTGTAAAGGAACACTGCTCTGTGAGAATGTACAAAAATTTAAATTTATGCCACATTCAGGGTCAAATTCCCTAGAAGGTCAGAATATGAAATGACCTAAAGAAACGCCCAGATAAGATGAGAGGGAGACAGAGAAGAAGGGGTAGATGGCAGAGGGCAGGAACAGGATCCTACCCTGGTTGGAAGTGACTTTTGGGGCCTCCTTGCTGGGTTCCTAGCATGCATCTTGGTTAAGCTTCCTGTTCGTTTCCTTGTATTACTTCCTGACCTCCCAGCTTATGCCAAGTTCTCGCCTAGGAGTACTGAGCTTATGATTTTAAAAAGCACTTCCAGACTGCAATAAATGTTTGCTGGTCTTCGGATGCTGCTAGCTGAGTATTGGCTCTGAGTGTTGGTTCTAAGTAGCCAGTCCTTTGTGCACCAGGCCCCGAGGTGGATGTGTGTGTGTGTGTGTGTGTGTGTGTGTGTGTTGGGTGGGGGGGGAGATAATACATCATGGAGCCTCTCAGGAGGTCAGGGCCTTAATGCTACAAAGCGTGCCCTGAGCTGCTGGGTGGTTGTGGGATGCTCATGCACGGTGCAGGATAGTGGCCTGGGGATGCTGTAGCATTAAGGACTGTCCAGCACAGGACAAGAAGTGGGAGTGAGGCAACAGTGGTCTGGGACTGCATTATGTGCCTGGCAGGTCCTGAGCACCAGTGCCCCACAGGGTTCTTCTGGAGTGATTTTCAGGACAACCCTTGTGGAGAGCAAGACATCTCACTAAGCATAGCCAGTGGCAGGCCTCCAGACTAAGAGGACTAATGACCTCTTAGTGTGGGCTGGGGTCTGACAGCCTCTGTCTGCAACTTCATTGGGGACCTGAGAGCCCTGAGGCAGGTGATCTCCCCTGAGGTAGCAGCATTTCCAGTAATTCCAGTAGGTGTGTGTGTGTGTGTGTGTGTGTGTGTGTGTGTGTGTGTGTGTGTGTTTGTGTGTGTGTTGGGGGTGACTCAGGAAAGGCCCTGCAGGGATTGGCCCAGAAATAGCAATGTTGTTTTGTTATATTATAAAAGCCAAAGGCAAAAGCTAACAGGGGAGCCAGGCCTTATAGGCCAAACTCGCTTTGATAAATTCTGTTCACACCATCACTTCACCAGGCCAGGTTTTCACACTCTGGTCCATTATATGTCTCCTTCCAGGTGCTGTTATTATTCTCTTGGACAGATGAGAACACTGAGGCACATTACACCTCTCCTACAGCTGGCAGCTGGTAGTGTCCAGGCCCAGTTCCCTGCGTGGGCAGGGCTCTGATAAGCACTTTCCAAGAAAGTGACATGCCACCTCTTAGAGGCAAGGAAGCACACTTGGCTTCACTTCTAATTAGAGGCACATTCATTCCAAAGTGAAGACACTTTCTACTCATCTGTTTGGCCTTGTTACCTTAAACAAGGTAAGGATATGGGGAAACAGGTTACCCTTCAACATGAGAAACTGCTGCGATCATTAGCAATAAGACTTTAAACACAGTCTTAAACTGTGAGGTGGAGAAATTTATCTTTCCATTTACATGCAAGAGAAAGTCAGTTTACAAGGATTGCCATGGAAGCACTGCATCTAGTCAGAAAGAAATTAAGGTGTACATACACCCTAACTGCTCATTAGCCCAGAACTCGGTTCAATGAAAAACACACTCATACAGTTCATGCTCTGCAGTTCCAAGGGTGAGTTACTGAATGGTGATGGGGGTAACCCTTAAAATGTGTTCTTACAGAAAAATGCAAGAGAAAGTGGAATATATAAACAGGTCCCGTGATGCCAAATAAGAAGCAATTGTAAATGCACATGAAACTTTCAGAACGGTTCTCAACAATCAATACAACACAAGTGGCCTTGTGGTGGAAAGGCGTTGTCTTTCTCTTTCCTGTTATGAACTGTTTACCGTTCAAAATTCTTGTTTATTTCGTTTTGTTTTTTAGCTGGTGCTGCTGAGTCTATAGTGCTTGCTCAGACACTGGAATGAGCCCCCAGAAATGGATCTCTCTTTCTTTGATCTCCTCTCCATTTCTCCCTCTCCCTCTCTTTCTCTCTCTTTCCCTCTCTCTCTGCCTGTCTCTGATCTCTCTCTCTCTCTCTCTCTCTCTCTCTCTCTCTCTCTCTCTCACACACACACACACACACACACACACACACACACACACACTCTTCAGACATCACAACAGGCAAATCAACTCTCAAGCCTCAACCCTGCAGAGGAGGCTTCTTCCTCCTTGTGGTCACAGGGTTTACTGGCTCCAACTATAAACACAGAATATCTCTTACCCACACTCCTTTGCTTTCCAGAGTGCTTTGCCAGTCCCCAAAATACTTGCCCAACCAAAGACACCCTGGGAAGGTCCAGCTGCTGGACTGCTGACTGTGCCAGCCCCGTGTGACTCCTAGTACTCCGCCAATATCGGGAAGGATTGAGCAATGGCTGTGATAGAATTTCATCTGGCACTTAATACAACTCTCCCTGCTTTTGCCAGAGGCAGAAGCAAATTCTATATAAAGCTGCCAAACCTGGATGTCTCTTTGCTGTGTTGACCCCTTCTAAGGAAAGAGAAGGCAATGGGGGTCTGCTGTGCATGATATTCTTGCAAAAACCATGGCATTCAGGCCTGGGAGACTTGGGAGTGGGGACCCAGCTAAGCAGAGCAGGCTGGGCCCAGGGATGCAGCTTCTTTCCACTCCAGCTTCTAGTTTGTAGCTATGTAAACTGAGACAGGATATAGACACATCCTGTCTGAGTTAACAGTGAGAAACAGGGCCCCACAGGAGGGATCCTGCCATAAATCAGATCTCAGTGGTAATCTAGGATGGAATGCAAGTTGAGGCTACCTTCCCATCAGTCCCAGAAAGGAGGTGTTTGAAATGGAGGACTTCCCAGGGTTGGGGAAGGAGTGGGCTGTCCTCTTCAGGTTGGGGGAGGGCTGCAGCCTGCACTTCCTCAGTGCCTGCACCGAGGTGACCACAGTGGCTTCTGTCTCCCATCTCCTTAGCCCAGGCCCTGGTACTCATGCCTGTAGAGAGACTCATGAGCACCAACACAGGGCTGCACTTCTCAGGCAAAGTTAATACTCAGTTGCCTGACATTTCCTGAGCTCTGGCTATGCACATCTCTGGACTGTGCTATTTATGCGGGCTTAACTCTTATAGCCCAGTGGGAGGAGGAATGTCCTGTGTTGAGTCTCATTTTGCAGGTGATGAAGCCCAAGTTAAGCAGATTTACTTGCCAATAAATGGCATGAATGATTCCAGTACAGATCAAGAGGCCCAGGCCTCCACCTAGGGTTGGGGTAGTGTGCACCTGCACTGACACCCTGGGGTTCCGGTGCAAGCAATGTGGTGCACACCTGCAGATCGAAGCGCTCCCCACCCACACCCAGGCTGGGGAACATGATGATGCCTGGTTACTACCCTCATTTTAAAGATTTAGGGAAAGTCTGTGTCTCATTGTCATAGTAACATCTTAATGTGGCCATAGTGTAGATTAGACCATCTCCCCTCTATCTCTATTTGTCCTAACCAAGGCAGTGGGGGCGGGGGGGGGCGACCAACAGTCAATATTTTAAAATACAACTTTAGTTTCTCTCCCAAAAGCCCAGTGGCAGCCCAAAAGAAGCCCAGCAATGCCTCCCGTGCCTGGGATTCCCCATCAGCAAGAAAACGTGTGCTGATTAAAACAGAAAACAAACAGAACTCAGCAGTAGTTTTAGGAACTCTCACAGGGCAAAGTCAGGGGATCCCCGAACTTGTGCGCGCCTCTGGGAAGGCGGCCCAGGGTGCAGCAGCCAGGAAGGCGACCTGTTTCTGCACGGGTGGCCCCTGGCTGCTCCGGGCCTGGCCGTTACCAGGCATCCCCCCTGTCCTGGGGACACAAATCCTGGCCCCACACAAAGAACAGAGAGCGAGTGGGCGTACGGCGCGCGGCCCGGGCCCCGGCCTCTCCCGGCTCAGGGCGCAGGAAGGGGACCCTGCCAGGCCGGGTTAGTGCGGGCGCGAGCGGGCCGGGCCGCGGTCAGCCCGCCCAGGCCCGGGTCCCCCGGGATACTCACCAGGCGGCGAGGACGGCCGGGACGTCGTGGCGCTCAGGCTGCTCATGGCGAGGCTCCTGCGCGGGCGCGCTGGCGGGGAGCAGCAGCCCGTCCCCGAAGTCCCCCCGCGCTCCGCGCCGCCCCGGCCAGGGAGGGGCTCGGCCCAGATAGGCCGGGCGGCCGCAGTCCGCTCCGCACCAGCAGGTCCCCACCCCCGGCGGAAACGCGGCCGCCCACTTTCAACTCTTCTGCGCTTCAACTTCCCGCGCAACTCTTTCTATTTCAACTCCTCCTCCTCCTCTTCCTCCTCCTCTTTCTCCTCTTCCTCCTCCTTCTCCACTTCCTCCATCTCTTTCTCCTCCTTATTTTTTTCCCGTTTCCATCTACAACTGTCAGATGCAGAGGCTGAACTTGAAAATTCCTCTTGAAAACTCAGAACCTGCCCGCGGTGGCCAGGCTGGGTACCTTGGGCAGGCGTGCACGCCGCGCTGACTCACACTGGAGCCTCACTTGATGCTCCGCAGCCTGACAGCCGCCGGGCCTCCCTGAGCCAGCCCAGCCCCGGGGGTGAAATCTTTTGAAATCTCTTTTTACTTATCAGATAATAACTACGTATTAATGGGATACTTGCAGTACTTCAGTACAACACTGGAGGTGCGGATCCAACCAAGGCCTGTGGCGTTGAGCTCAGCTCTTCTAGGTCTTCATAAAATACTCCGTCGCTTTTTGTGAATTTGAGTTATGCTGTTCACAGAAGAAATTGTCTCCCTTTACCCACTCTCCCTCCTCCCTACCTTTCCTGGCCACGGTAAGTTCTGCAGCGCTCTGCCCACCTTCCAACCCCCCTTTTTCTGCAAACAGGCAGGATTTGCTTTTCTGTGGCATAGTTTGCTTCACACCATGTTCTCCCCTCTGATCCATTTTGCTGCGAATGGCAGAATTTCATTCTTCTTTCACGGAATAATGTTTCTTTGTGCACACACAACATGTTTTCTTTATCACTCACCCACCAGTGAACGCTTAAGTTGATCGCATTTCTTGGCTACGGGTCAGGAGGCTGTAGTACTCTGGGGCCTGGGTATCTCTAACACATTGGTCTGATTTTCTTTGGCTGTACATCCAGAAGGGAAAAGGCTGGGTTGCACTGGAGCCCTACTTCCAATTTTTGAGGAACCTCTGTACTGCTAGCCACAATGACTATTAATTTAATTCCCACCGGCGTTGTGTGAGCCCTTTTCCTCTGCATACTTGCCAGCTTCTGCTGCTTTTTGTTTTTGATCATTGTCATTCTGATGGTGATGAAATGGGGTCTCATGTTTTCATTTTCATGCTGGCAAAGGTGGTTTTTTTTGATATATTTGTTGGCCATTTGTATTTTTTTTGAAAAATGTTTATTCAGATCATTCACTTACTTTTAAGTAGATTTTGTCATTGTGGGTTTGTTTGCTTGCTTCTTGAGTCTTCTGGATATTAATTGGTTACCAGATGCCTAGTTTGCAAATATTTTCTCCCCTTCTCTGGGCTGTCTTTTCACTCTGTTGGCTGTTTCCTTTTCTACTTGGAAGCTTCTCAGTTTGATATAATCCCATATATTTATTTTTGCTTTTCTTGCCTGTGCCTTTGGGGTCTTCTACCAATGATTTGGAGAATTTTCCCTTTGTTTTCTTCTAGTAGATTCAGATTCACGTATTATATTTAGGTCTTTGATACATTTTGAGTTGATTTTGGTATACACTGAGAGACAAGTCATATTTTAACCTTCTATATATGGATATCCAGTTTCGCCAGTACCATTTTTTGAAGAGGTGATGATTTCTTCACTGTATATTTTGGTGCCTTTGTTGAAATTCAGTTGGCTCTAAATGTGTAGATTTATTTTCTGGATGTTTCCGTGGTCTGTCTGTTGTTTTTATATCATGAGCCTCTCTTGGTTTCTATAGCTCTATAGCATGTTTGAGATCACTGTTGTGATCAGATATTCTTTTTGCTCATTTTTTTTTTTTGATAATTCAGGATGTAGAGATCTTGTCTATTTCTGAAGCTGTAGAAATTTGAGGACTGATATTTGGACTGCATTCTACAAAGTGAGAAAACATCCATAATTAGCTCTACCTGGATAATGAAACCTGCACTGCCTGTACATCTTCAGTCAAGCTCTGTGCTGTATGTATGTTGACCTGACATGAGCTAGTCAACAAATGTCTTTTGCCAGATGTGGCTACTTTGGAGTTTTGATTTCCTCAAAAATGCAATAGAGGCAAGTATTCTGTATTTTCCAGAAATGTACAGAAACAACGTTTGTCAAGTAATAGTAATAGTAGGGTAGAAGAAGCATTTAATGTAAGTTAATAATTCATAACATAAAAGTTTAACTTTTAAAAAGTATGTTCATGTTATACAATAGGCCCCTCTATTCTAAGTGAATACATTAAAAATGACTTCAGTGAGCTGAAATAAAGCTGGAAAACTGGGAGGAAGCAGAGATTCCCACCGAAGCTGAGGAGGCAGTCCCTCAGGTGACTGTGTAGGCCCGTATGGCTGTCTTGGAGGCTTACCTTGAACTAACTTACCCAAGACATTATCCATCATGGAGACTTCACTTATTTAATTTTCCAGGTAGGACAGATAAAAGCACAAAAAATTAACAATTCCTTATAGAAGAAAAGCAAAAACAAACATCCTAAAACACCAAGATCTGATTAACATTAATATTATATGACTTTAAATTCAGCTCTAATCAAGACGCCAAGGCCCGGGGACTAGACTGGGGTTAGTTCTCACTAGCTGGAAAACATTCAGCATTTTATTCCACTTCTCTGTACCATAGTTTTCTCCTTCATAAAATTGAAGCAATCTGTAAAGTTAGGTTATTGTGAGTAACATAGTTAAGAATTAACTATGCCATATTCTTAGCAGATAAGAATTATTTCAAGATGGGTGTTTTCTCCCTCTTAAAGGACACATTTTGTGTACAGTGAGGGCCCCAGATCATTGAGAAAAGAGGTAAAGGGTGTATTAATAGTGAATAGTAGTTTTGCTAATAGGGAAATATTGGATGCCATTAAGATAATTTAGCCATGGAAATATCTACTTTTAAGTAAAGGAGTAATTTCATAAAAAAGGTAAAATAATCATATGAAAAACTAGGTGATATGGAAGAGTCTGACTTCCAGTCCCAGAAGTGTATCCACATGTGAGTATTGCCAAGTGCCCTTTTGTAAGCTGGGAATGCTGAGGTTCTGAGCAGTTCTGTATGACTGCTTTTGAGCCTTCTTTTGGTCAGCAAGTGTGACTGAGGCTGGAAGGACACTGCCTCTTCCCTCTGACACACACCAAAAGGGAACCTCAGGGGGAAGGCCCCTTGCCCACCGTACCCCACCCACATTGAGGCACACTGCCACCATGGGAGGAGGTGGGGTCTGGCTGTGATACATGCCTGAGGCAGAGTTTGTTGGCAGAACGGGGGCCGTCCTTGGATCCTTTAAAAGTTTTAATGACAATATTTTCTCTTCATTCAGGTCATAGATATTCTTTGTGAGAAACATATTTAAATGGAGGGGAAAAAAGAAACCAACAAGTGTGAATAATCTCTAGTACACTACGTTCTTTTAGTCTTTTTCGTGAAGTTGTGGATGCTGGCTCGATACTACCAAGATTTTACTGAATATGTGATTTTGAGGGCTTGTCTCTCCCTGCCTACTCTTATGTCACAACTGTTTTCCTATCTAAAATTATTAACTCTTTAATTCATTTAATTATGAAATGATATCTATTAAATCTTTTAAATAATGCTGTGATAAGCCATGTGAATATAAATACCTGTGTTTCCTAGTTTTCTTAGTGTATATTCTTAAAGTGAAATTCCTGGATCAATGATTAGGAGTGTTTAGGTCTTTTGATGTGTTTGTAAGTTGTAGCTATAGCAATTTAAGTTTCTGAATTAAGATGACCAGTGCTTAATTCAGGGACCCTTGCCAGAAGGAAGCATCAGGTTTTAAATCATTGTTAGTTCAGTAGATGAAAAAGGTATGTAGTTACCAGTAAGGTTGTATGTACTGTTATATGCTTATTTGAAAATCATATATTCTTAGGGTGAATGCTTTGGCTTTTATGAAAACCGAAGTGTGGCTAACCATAATTTAAAAAGAAGGAAGAGAGAGAGAGAGAGAGAGAGAGAGAGAGAGAGAGAGAGAGAGAGAGAATGAGAGAGAACCTGGAATACAGTTCATGTTGTCAAAAGCTCCTGGTAATGAAGAGCTGGAGGCAGGGGGTGGGGAGGCTGGGAACTGAGAGGAGATCTGTACCTCACAGAAAGACCACAGACAATAGCATGGAAAGACCAGTGGCTGTGAGCTCTGCAGTCTTAGCTGGGAAACTCTTCCATTCCCTGGAAGAATGATCTTTCTGAAGAGCATCCCTTGCGTGGGGAAGCCTTAAAGAACAGCAGCATCCTCATGCAAGGGAGAAATGGGCACCAAGCTGAGCCCCTGGTCCTCTTTCTTCCAGTCATTGCTGGAGGATTGGTTCCCTTGTGCAAAGGTTCCCAGAGAGAAAGGTGTGGAAGGAGGCATCAGGAGAACATCAGCAGAGGCTGTGGGCACCTGTATCCTGTGCTCTTAATTTACAAGAGCATCTCAGTCCAAGGAAACTCTTTGGGCAACCAGAGTAGTCCAGCATCACTAGGTGACAGGGAACAGCAGAGCAACCCAGTGGGAGAAGCATGTGGCCTGGGAGAGGGAGAGATGCAGGGGCAGAACTCATTTGCTGATATGAGCTCTAAATCTGATCTTTTTTTCAAGCAGCCTGAGAAAATTAGAAAAGCTTCACACTAGGTGGGGAAAACCCCAAAGAAATGCCACAGGAAACCTGAATCTCTAGCAATGGTCAGTGTGTAGGAGATAGCACAGCTTGGCATGGGAGGCTCAGACACTCCAGAAGATGTGTAATTTCTCATAAAAATGTTTCTAAAAGATGTAGGGTTATATGAAGAGGGACAATTTCTGGAGCATCTAGAATGTGCTAGGCTTGGTTCTATGTTAGGCTTTTCCATGTATGGCTATTGCAAGTTGTTCCAGCCAGTTGTCACTATAGATGGTGCTTTGGCCTGTTTTCTTGCTCTGCTCTTAGCAGAAGAGGTAACTCAGGACCAGACAGGTGACCTGACCACTTTTGCCCACATAGCTGCACAAGACTGAGCTAAAATCCCTCCAGATTTCCATCTTTAAAGTTCTGCAGTAGGAAGTACCAACCAG